TCTTGGAGGAGAGACGAAACGTTTCATCAGAGAAGAACCCGTCCAGAGGACCTATACAATTTTTTTCTTTTTGATTACATTTCCAAGGTTTCAGCTAAATAAGCTCAATGTCACATTTATTTGCACGTGTGACTCAAACAGGATGTKCATGCTCCTGTGGTGGCAGAAACTTTGTCACGTGCACAAATTAGATGTGTGCAAACGATGATCCTCTGACTACATTTAAATGACCCCTGGCTAAGAAAAAGCAAATGATTTTAGGTATAGGTTTTCCAGAGTTTGTCGGTTTTTTGGTATTTTATGAATATATGATTTTTTTTTTATGGTATGGGACTTGGGGATTTTGCGTGTGATTTGTTTTTATTTGATAGTGTTTTGTTGTTTTAATGATTCTGAACCACTACTATAAACTAAAGACATTTTTGTTACGTGTGACAGAAAACTATGGAGCCCGCGAGGGGACATGGGTTTTTTTCTTTTGTGTTCGCACGCAATACCTTTGCGTTCCCTCGCAATACCTTTGTGTTCTCTCGCAATACTTTTACGTTCCCTCGCAATACCTTTGCGTTCCCTCACAATACCTTGTGTTCTCTCGCAATAATTTTACGTTCCCTCGCAATACCTTTGCATTCCCTCGCAATACTTTTGCGTTCCCTTGCAATGCCTTTGCGTTCCCTCGCGATACTTTTGCATTCCCTCGCAATACCTTTGCGTTACCTCGCAATACTTTTGCGTTATCTCGCAATATTGTTTTGCGTTCCCACGCAAAAGTTTGATTTTTATATGAACTGAATTAAATCAGACTTTTATTTTGAAATATCTGGTTACCAAAACAGGATGTGTTGCCACAAGTTCGTGAAATTGACTTTGATGTTGCGTGGCTGCACTGTGTTAAAATATCAGCATTTGACATATTTCCATGCGTGGCTGTGTGATATATTCATTCTGAAGTTGAATTAAAGCAGTAGGCTAACTCGCTACTGGTAAACATGTGAGTTTTTAAATAAACCGGCGGGCACAACAGTGTTTTACGATTTTTGCGAGGGAACACAAAAGGTATTGCAAGGGAACGCAAAAAGAAAAAAAATCCCCCATGTCCCCTCGCGGGCTCAGTAGAAAACAATCCTTTTTGAATCTTGAAATTTAATATATTTTATTTTGTTCAGAATAAATGTATGAAGTCTCCTCTATGGTTAGAAATTAGTTCTGACACCCAACAGAAACATATTGACGGTGCATCTCATTAATAAGTCAAGTTGTAGCAGCCAGGGGGTACACAAGTCTAAAAAGGTTGGGAGCCACTGCCCTAGATAGCTAATGACAGTAGGTCAGGATAATACGTAGACAGACTAGTAAATAGAGCTCTTTGCTTTTCGACTCAACTCTGTTTTCACTACAACCAAGCAGTGCCCTCATTAATGAGAAAAAGGCTAAAATCCACTGATCCATTCTCTCGCTCCTACCATCACTTGGGAACAAGATGCCCAGGCACTTGAACTCCACTCTGCTGTGAACCACCCCAGTGTATTCTGATAGTAATGACCTACAAACAGAACCACGTCATCTGCATTAAGCAAAGATGAGACCCACTCCTCTCTATGACTGCACCTTGACATCCTGTCCATGAACACCCCTTCCAGGACACCATCCAGTGACTCGGGCCAGGCAAGCTGAGCTGCTGTTTGGTGCAGAAGCTAAAACAGCAACCAGAACCTTCTCTCCTTCAACTCAAAGCCACAGAGTGGCAACTCTCTCCTTCACCGAGGAAAACTCCAACACTGAGGCATTTAGCCAGGTGTTTGAATATCCCCCACACCCACCTGACACTTCCCTCTAAAACAGCTTGGTGAGCCCAGCTATATCTACTTGGTAAATGACCTGAACTTGTATACTTGTATAGCGCTTTATCAAGTCCAAGGGCTCCAAAAGCACTTAACACTACAGTCAATCACTTACTGATACATGTTCACACGCTGACGGGGGTAAGCTACATTGTAGCAGACTAACAAAGGCGAGGCTGCCATGCACTGGAGCCACTGGACCATCTGACCAACAACTGGGTTGTACAGGGTGGGGGTTCAGACTGGCAACCCACCGGTTACAGGATAAACCCCTACCTCCTGTTACCATTGTCATCTGACTTCACACACAAGCACAGCCTCCTTACCTGCCAGTGAGCTGATGCTCTATATCCCTAGAGCTACAGTCATATGAAAAGGTTTGGGCAGCCTTGTTAATTTTCCTGATTTACCTTTATAAATCATTGATCGTTTGGATAAAAAAAATCAGTTAAGTATATCATATAGGGGACAAACACAGTGATATTTGTGAAGTGAAATGAAGTTTATATGATTTACAGAAAGTGTGCAATAATTGGTTAAACTAAATTAGGCAGGTGCATAAATTTGGGCACCAAAAAAAAAATCCTTTACTTAATATTTAGTAGCTCCTCCTTTCACAGAAATAACAGCCTCTAAACACTTCCTACAGCTTCTAAYGAGAGTCTGGATTGTGTCTGAAGGTATTTTAGACCATTCTTTACGAAACATCTTTAGTTCATTCAGGTTTGATGGTTAATCTAATAAAGTTCATTGTGTCTATAAAATCAATCTACTACGTTTTCCTAATTACTAGACACTTTTTTTTATCTTTTATGTCTATACAGACATAACATAATCGAAACATGTCAGGTATGTCTGCATAGACATAAAAAAGTGTAGTAATTAGGAAGACGTAGTAGGTTTGATGGTTTCTGAGCGTAGACAGCTCTCTTTATGTGACACCACAGATTTTCAATAATATTCAGGTCTGGGGACTGAGATGRCCATTCCAGAACGTTCTACTTGTTCCTCTGCATGAAGGCCTCAGTAGATTCTGAGCAGTGTTTAGGGTGGTTGTCTTGTTGGAAGATGCAGCCCCGGCTTCAGCAGCTTCAGCTTTGTCACTGATTCCTGGACATTGGTCTCCAGAATCTGCTGATATTGGTTGGAATCCATGTGACCCTCAACTTTAACAAGATTCCCAGTCCCTGTACTGGTCCCACAGCCCCACAGCATGATGGAACCAGCCCCACATGTTACTGTAGGTAGCAGGTGTTTTTCTTGTTCTGCCCAAATAACTCTRTTTTAGTTTCATCAGTCCACAGCACCTTATTCCAAAATGAAGCTGGCTTGTCCAAATGTGCTTTAGCATACCTCAAGCTGCTCTGTTTGTGATGTGGGCGGAGACAAGGCTTCCTCTGCATCACTCTCCCATACTGCATCTCCTTGTGTAAAGTGTGCTGAATAGTTGAACGATGCACAGTGACTCCATCAGCAGCAAGATGATGTTGTAGGTCTTTGGAGCTGGTCTGTGGGTTGACTCTGACTCTTCTCAACATCCTTCACTTCTGTTTATTCCAGATTAGTCTTGGTCTGCCACTTGGAGCCTACACTTGAACTGTGCCTGTGGTCTAACATTTTCTCACAATGTTTCTCACAGTGGAGACTGAAAGATGAAATCTCTSAGATAGCTTTCTGTATCCTTCCCCTAAACCATGACGCTGAACAATCTTTGTTTTCAGATCATTTGAAACTTGTTTTCAGACTCCCATGCTGCCACTCTTCAGAGATGCAAAGAGGAGAAAAACTTACTATTGCCCCCCTTAAATACCCTTTCTCATAAGTGGAGTCACCTGTGTATGGAGGTCAAGGGTCACTGAACTTAACAAACCTAATTTAAGTTCCAATAATTAGTTCTAAAAGTTTTGAAATCAATAAAATGAACACGGTGCCCAAATTTATGCACCTGTCTAATTTAGTTTAACCAATTATTGCACTTTCTGTAAATCATATCAACTTCATTTCACTTCTCAAATATCACTGTGTTTGTCCCCTATATGAAATATTTAACTAATATTTTTACTCCAAACAATCAATGATTTATAAAGGTAAATCAGGAAAATTAACAAGGCTGCCCAAACCTTTTCATATGACTGTAGTTTATGCCACCAGGAATTGGCAGAGCCAGTGTTCCTCCCTCACCTGCTGCCCAGGTTGCATGGCACTAGACCATGGCTAATGCCCCAGACARCATAGCCCCYAGTATCACATGGGTACTCAGACCCCTCCACCACAATAAGGTGGCGATTCTGTCATGAAGCTGTTTCCACAAAACCAATTTAAAATCTGAGAATTCTAGATAGTTCCCTCACCTTTTATTGCTTCACATACATTCTTATTATTCCTTACCATCTGAAGAGACAAATGACAGTTAAAATTTAAAAGTTTTGCTTTTGAAAAATACGATGGATTAAGACTGACATGAAGTTTCTTTTAAAAGTCTGTGTGTATAACTGCTTTGTGCACATTTGTTTTTCCTGTAGCATTTGATGAACTAGTAGAAGCCTAYTCAGAACAAGCGCGGGGTTTATTGGATGGAGGAGCAGACATCCTTCTGGTAGAAACAATCTTTGACACTGCCAATGCAAAGGTAACTTTGTTCTTCTTTGAAACATTGCTAGAATTGCCAGTGATCTTTGAATTTAAGTTTTACTTTCTAATGCCCATTTTTATAAAATCTGTGCATCTACAATGCTCATAATTAGCTACATTAGCATGTTGTGTTGTAGCTATGGCATTTTAAACACATTTATATTAAAAAGCACCTAAGCAAATGTTGAAGACCAAAAAAAAAAAACAACTTGATATGTATTACCCTTTCACAGTGCACAAATCTATTTTTACCATCACATAGAGTTGGATCTAATTTGACAAACATGAATGTCACATCAAACAAATAGAACAGTACAACATAATACATACTGTTACTAAACACATWASCRCAAATTATATTTGCCAAAAATATTTAATGGTTTCAATTGGAGACCTGTTCAGTAATGCACTACCAGTGTTCTGATGTATTTATAGTGCAAGTAGAAGATGAAATGCAGTCATATTACAGTATAACACACATGGCTGTGCTGTACATACAAAATACATTTTTGTGTAGCTCATTAATGCTTCATGTTGTCGCCTTTTTAATTTATCAGGCTGCCCTGTTTGCCATTGACCTGCTTTTTGAGAAGATCTACAAAAGAAGGCCTATATTTGTATGTTCAAACATTATTCATATTCTTTGATTTTTTTTTCTTCTGTTTCCAAAGTTTACATTTTTGAGTAGTTCCAAACTTGTATAACTGGCAGTTTCTTGCTAATAAAATAAAATTAAGTTGATTTAACAAAGTTTTTCTAGTTTGATGCTGAGCTGTTTAGTAAAACTTTTGAAAAAAATGTTTTTATGAAATTAGCAAATCACTGCGTTCTGGTTTCATTTATATTTTACATAACATCAGAATGTTTTCAGAGTTGAAGTTGTAAATTATTTCTAGATGGTACTACTTTTTTGTAAATGAGAGATAAAATTTCTCAAAATTTGATGGGAAATACTGGAGCAGTAATAGGAAACATGAGTAAGTTTGTATATATATATAAATTGTCTTGTTTAACTTAAACTTCAGATCTCAGGGACGATTATTGACCGGAGTGGACGAACACTGTCTGGTCAGACTGGGGAAGCATTTGTAGTGAGTGTGTCCCATGCAAAGCCACTATGGTGAGTTACTGTATATCACAGGTAACGCATACACCTTTAAGAGAATAAGCAATGATAAAAAAAAAATCCTTGAACTGTTGAACAGCACTTTGTCATTTTGTTGCAGTATTGGTCTGAACTGTGCCTTGGGTGCTAGAGAGATGAGACCATTTATTGAGATCATTGGAAAAAGCACCACAGCTTTTGTAATTTGTTATCCCAATGCAGGTAAACAACTACATGCAGTTAACATTTCTGTTTTCCGACCAAAAATAGTACACCTGATCATCTAGGCTCCATTACAACTATAATTCACAGATCTGTTGCTGTCAGTGACTACTTGACAAATAACATTTGTGAGGGAGTCTCCARAATGTCTTGACGTGTTTGCAAAGGTTCTCAAATTCCTTGTATGTGTTGCAGAGTTACTCACCCTTGTCCCTTAAATTATGAACATGTTAAAAACAAATGTGCAACATTTTTTCCRAACAGAGTTGTCTTAGGTGTCTACAACCGTCTTCAATAAATCAAAAAGAAAAAATAAGTAGGGTTCTTCTTTAGTGAAACGTTTCGTCTCTCCTCCAAGAGACTTCTTCAGTCTGATGAGTTTCAGGTGAAACTCAGTCTTATAAGCTCCGTCACCACATGGTGGACAAACAGGTTAGTCATATGCAAAAAAGGGCCATCGCCCAACAATAGGCCATTGAAGCTATAGAATCCAAAGAGGAACACATCTGACAATAATTAACAAAACATCTAATCAAGCCTATTGTTAGACGAAGGCCCTCTTTTGGATGTGACTAACCTGTTTGTCCATGTGGAGGCAGTGCTTATAAGGCTGAGTTCACCTGAAACTCATCAGACTGAAGAAGTCTCTTGGAGGAGAGACGAAACGTTTCACTAAAGAAGAACCATCCAGAGGAMCTACTGATTTTTACTTTTTGATATTTTCTACCTGGATTACTGAGATGCGTCAGGACGTCTTCAATGTAGATTTGATAAATTTGAGTTGTATTCTGACCCCAACATGGAAGACCTCCTTGAACAGAAAACCTCTGAGGCCGCAGCCCCGAACTTTTAGGTCTTAAAAACCACACCAGTAATGAGACTGAAACATATACAGTATATATATGTATGAAACAGKTTTTAGTCAGTAGATAACTGTGTTGTTGCTATGAAACTACAAACATGGCCGAACGGGGTGGAGTCGAACGCTCAGCGACCTGGAGGGGGCGGGTGTGAAATATCTCATTTGTATTTAAAGAGACCGCACCAAAACAGCTTGCTCTGAGGCGCAACTCAGAACAGGGGTAAAAGCAAGGAGTCTGTGGAGCAACAAAAACAAGGAATTAAGACCAAAGTGTTACAGTTTTATTTTAAATAGACCATTAAGTGAATGATTTAGACGTGAAAAAGAAGGATTTAAAAGCATGATATGATACCTTTTAAGATAAGATAAGATAAGATAGAACTTTATTGATCCCACAGTGGGGAAATTTGAACATTACAGCAACTCAAAACAGTGGAGTTGCAGTAACAGGCTGCCTGCCGTGGCGCCAACTTAGAAACAATAAAAACTGAAAAACACACAAGGGAAGGGAAGATGAGGAAAAAGGCAAAATCATCATATTATATCAACACTGTGACACACTAAGGTGTTTATGAAAAAAAACCTCTGCATAGAGCAAGTTTATTAGCCAGAGGAGTAAGTGAGTTTAAGGGGGCCCGAAGAATCCAGTCCCCCAAAACCAGCGCAGCCATAGTTCAGAATATTGATGAAAACTGTTCATTTCTGTGCAGCTTTCAGCCTGCTCYGAAAAAGCAGATTAGACGGGCGAGTGGAGTGGGGAAGGTGGGGGGCCGAGCCTTTGTCGACACATCCAGCCAGGAAGAATTCAGTCAACAGATCCAAGGCCGTTGTCAGGGAGATCCAGATTCTGTAATCAGTTGTTTTGGGAACAAAAGAGACGAGCAGACGACAACAATTTTCCATCTGCTTTAGAGTTCCTGCTGGTACATCTCAAGGTGGCGATCCCACTCAGGCAAAATGGTGTGGACAAATTCCGCCGAGCCCGAATCTATCAGCTTCTCCCAGATTAGTTCCATCTGGCCAGCAAAGTCCAGGGACCACAGCCGGCCCGCGACCCGTATATATTTAGAATTATTTACTTTGCAATTACTGTGACGGAGCTGATTAAAGAGGCAAATGATGCACAAAAGTTTAAGCTRAAATCAGGTAATGCAGCAGATAATTTCTCTCTTTTTTTAAATCAAATATTTTACACTAAGTATGTCCTATAAACAGCACTAATCAGAATCAGATTATTTTTGCCCTGGCAGTACATATGGTACATTTCCCCACTAAAAATTATGAATACCTTATGTACTTATGGAGACAAACTTTWTTAGCAATGCGRGACACTGTTTGGTTGTATTATGAGACACACATCTCTTTGAGAAACACTTTTCCACTTATACAGTATGTGTAAAACCTATTTTACTCCTGATGAGTGTTTGCACAATACTTTGGTGAATCAGGGTTGTAGTTTTAAAAAATCATTTACAATTTGAAGCTGTTATTGTATTTTTAAATTTATCTTTATTGTTCTGATTTTGCTGGTTCGACTAAGAAGCATATAGTTTACCTTCATGTTGTATTTCTGTTACTCTTCAGGATTAATATATTTCCTCATTTGTGTTTTTATAGGTCTTCCCAACACATTCGGAGGCTATGATGAAACTCCTSAAGTCACAGCTTCCAGTTTAAAGGTTTAGATTTTTTTTATTTCTTGTTCAATGTTTTCAAGGATTGCATTTCTGTGGCACGTTTTTGGTTTTGTTTCTCAGTTAAAGCATTTACTCTGCAATTCACTCGGTCATACAATCACTTATAAAACACTTCCTAATGTACACAGGCTGTTTAGTGTCTTTATAAATTGACAGTAACACCCTGAATAAAACTTTTGGGGAAATATTGAATTCAGTATTTTGGCCAAGGCYGTTTGACATGATTGAGGAAGCCATAAATTAAACGATCATCTCTTGATTTGATAGATGACTGTTCTTTCTCTTGAGCCAATGTTGCCTTTAACAGCATGTTTTTACAGACTAGAGCTTAAGAAATTTTGATAATTATCATACTTAAAAGCAGCTTTAAAGTGTTCCCCGATTAACATTAGACATTATTTCATAAACRCTGTAAAACAAAGAGAGTAAAAATAAAAGTTTTTATTAATTAAAAAAAATGTGGAACAAACACTGCAATCTAGTGTCAGTTTCATCCTTCTCTCAAGCTGAAAAAATATAACTCCCACCCCCTCCCCCCGGATCTTTTTTCTGACCCAGGCCCAAAGTAAAGAATCGGGGATAAATCAAAAGTTCTAAGTGTAAATAAATACTTCTACATCTCTGTGTTCATGGTGGATTAAGTGTTTCACATTTTTTTTTTATTTCTTTCCCCAATCAGCAACCTAATAGATTTATATTTTATAATAATTATATTTTATAAATATGTCCATGTTTAATCGTGTGAGAAATCCACATTTTTCTGTTTATTCAGTCAGTATTTAATACAGTTGACACCATAAATTTTTTAAATATAATGGTGTGCTTATTTTTTTTTTAAATTCAGCACATAAAAAAATAGTCCTTTTGGTTATGCCGGTGAAGATCTCAGTCATCCAGGTCATGATGAAACACAAAAAAGGTTGAGGTGTGSTGTATGTAGTTCAGTGCAGTGAGGAATGTTCAGACATTTACTCTATATTGAAGAAACTAAACAACCTCTTCACAGATGCTTGGCTCAACACCAGAGAGCCAGTTCTTTGGGACAAAACTCAGCAGTTCACCTACATCTCAAGGATAAGGAACACTTGTTTGAGAACCAGAGGACAGATGGTTCAAGAGAGGGGTAAAGGAAGCCATCTACGTGAAACAAGAAAAAACATTAAACAGAGGAGGAGGCCTCAAATTTCAACTATCTTAAACTTAAAAAACAGCTTTAAGTCTGATTCCCTGTCAGTTCCACTCCAACTCACACCCTCAGGAATGTGACCAAAACATCTCACACACCAACCATACAGACAAAGAGCATAAAGGCTTGGTTAAAGTCGTGCTTTGGGTAGTCGTGGCGGGCGCGCGCATTATACTTGGCACTTATGTTGTTGTAGGTTTCTCCAAAAGGACAGGTGGAAGTATACTTTATAACTTGTGAAATGTTGTAAATAGGAGAGCAAAGGCGTGACGAACAAACAAGCTCTTTGAATGGTGCACAGCCTTTGCGGAGTTTCAAAAATTTGGAAGTGCACGACCACGCGCCGGGACACCGCGTGGGGCCAACGTGCAGGGGCGGGGACGGCGCGATTGCTCACTTTTGGCGTGTGCCCGGTGCGACACGTCAACTATAAACCAGGCTTAATGAGCTTGCATTGCAAAAAGCAGATAGTTCACACCTTCATGCCAGGATATCTCTCTTGGGAGTCATACAGAGCCTCTATTGTGAAGGACGATTGGCTCCAGCCTAAACTACATGTGAATCCAAGTCCTTTCAGGGCCTCTACTGTGGTTTTATTAAAGCTGGCAGCTCAGCACATGCCAGCCTCCTGGATGGGAGGCGAAACATCTTCAACTTCAGAATATATGTCCAGTTGGTTTGTTTTTCTGTTCCCTTCATGTTATAAAAGGACCCTCTTTATATGAGAGAAAATCCAGACTTTTAAGAAAATGGCCTGTTATTGATTAATTATTTGTCGACTGAAGATCAATAAACTTTAGAATAATTCATTAATCAATAACTTGCATCCCTAGTTTGTATGGTCCTGTATTAAAATGAGCATGAATTGACAGC